CGTGACAGCTTCCCGCCGACGCACGAGACACACGGTGAGTCGGTGCCCGACGTCGACTTGAGGTCCAGCCCAAGGGCGATCTCGTGCTTCGCCGAGCTACGTATGGTGTCCATGCCGACGTGTGCCAATCTCGCATGCATCCGATCTGGTGTCGACTTCGTTGCCGAGACGATTCCCCGCTTGGCCACCATTTCGCCAGTGTTCGTCGCCGAGCAGGGACGTAAGTCGGTGCAGAGGACCCGGCCGGAATACGTTGCTCGACCAAGCACGTCGCCCGTCGCCGAGACGAGCAGCATCCCATCGTTGTTGTCCAGCAGCTTCACGCCGTGCTCCTTCAGCTGGCCGGACGACAGCAGGTTCGCATGCACGCCCGGGACGTACAGCACGTCGGGAATGAGCACCCGCTTCCCGGCCTCCCCTTGCAGCGCAACTGTGCCCCGGCCCTAGCGCCCCATTGAAGCCATGCACATACTTCATGGCGCCGCTCGGCCCCATGTCGACGAAGGCGTCCTTCGTCCCCATCAGGTGGTGGGAGCAGCCGCTGTCGAGCAGAACCACCGCCGGGTTAGCCTGCACAGCTGCCGCCACCGCCTGGAAGTCCTCGCCGGCCTCCGGCGCCAGCGAGACGGTCGGCTCCACGACGCCGACCAGGGAGCACGACGCCGACTTGTCGTCTCGCCCCTTGCCGCCAGCAGAGGAGTTGACGTCCTTCACCGAGGTCGACGTCTTGGTCGACTGCTTCTCCTTGCGTGGCTGGTTTCCTCTTCGACGAGGACGACGACTTCCAGACCTCCCGCGACCTCCCTTGGTGTCGTCGTCGTCGGAATCAGTGCGGTCAGGGCACTCGAAGGAGAGGTGGTCGGGGTCGCCACACAGCCAGCACTCCAGACATCGACTTCCTCCTCCTCGACCACTGTCCTTGGTCGACTTCTTCTTGTCGACCTCCTTGGTTGACTTCGAGCCACTGCTACCACCGCCACCAGACTGTCCACGCTGCCCTGGTCGTGCGCCTTGCTTCGCCGGGGCGACGTAGTTCACCTGCGCCAAGAGCTCTTGGGACCGCTCGGCCTCTTGCATCGCCTCGTCCTGCAGGATGTACGAGGTCAACGTGTCCTTGTTGAGCGTCGCCCGTGTGCTCGGCGCCATCGACAGCCGCTTCAGCAGGTTGTAGCTGCTCGATAGTCCCTGCATGACATGGGTGACGTACGACGCCGTCGAGTACTCCGCGCCGGCCATCCTGATGGTGGCAAGAATCCGCCGAGCTCGGTTGCAGTAGTCCGTCGCCGTCTCCTGGTCGCCCATACGCAGGTGCGTCAGCTGCCCTTCAAGCTGGGCGATAAACAGGTCGTCGGTGACTTGGTAAGTCGACTCGATGAAGTGCCACGCCCGGTGGCCGGCGTCGATGTGCTCCCTGCACGACTTCAGGGCGATTTGCACGCCCGGCGAGCAGCACCGCGAGATGACCGTGAAGGTCAGCAGCTGTACGGCGCGAAACTCTGCACGCAAGTCGGGGTCATCCGGCGTCGCCACGGTACCACGAGCAAAGTTGATCAGCCCGGCCATCTCCAGCTAGGGCTCGATGGCTTCCTTCCAGGTGAGAATGTCGGGTCGACCGACCAGCAGGGGAGTCACCAAGATCCTATCCGGCGTGAACTTGAAGTAGCCGTAGCTCGGTGCAATCCCGCCTGCTGTCACCTGGGTCGCCGACATCGGCACAGATCCACTTCGTCGACCTCCGACGTCACCCTGTGAGGAACCTGCAGCCGCCGAAGACCGCATCCCTCGCACCCGAACGCCGCCGACATCATTGGCGTGAATCACACCACGCTGCCTCGACGACGTGCCTCCCGCACTGCTGCCGACTTGGTCGCCCCCGACGTTGATGCCCACGTCGGTAGAGGAGACGCAGGCCGAGAAGGGTGCTCCGTCGCCCATAGGGAACGGATGCCAGAGTCAACGACTGCCCAAGGGATGTCGCCAAACTCCTTCGCCTCATGCGTCTCCTTGCGGTCTCAAGCCGTGCCTCCAGGGTGTCCACCACCCCCGTGTCACCTACGGCGCCTACCATGGTGACTACCGCACAGCTGCCGGCCTACGAACAACTTAGGTAAGGTGCCTACTAAGTCGACTAGACTGAAAGGTAAGTCGTTGTGCCGTCCACGCTCACCGCACCATGTGGAGATAACTACTACAATGGGAGCTAGACTACGGGCTAGGCACGGGTGCTCGTGTGATCTCTGCGTCCGTTGTTCCTTAGTCGTTTTCCTAGTGCACACACTGCTTGCTAGTTCACAGGGCAAATTGGCAAGAGTTTCACTAGAGAAAGTTGACAACAATAATACAATGAAGTTGGCAAGGCTAGACTACATCAGAGCTAGGATGCAAGCAGGTCGACTGCCAGCGCAGCACGGTCGACCGCGTGCCAGCACGACTTGGTCGACCGCGCTCCAGCAGTACAGAGTCGCGGCTTGCCAACGCTGCAGGTCGACGGCGTGACAACAGCGCAAGTCGACGGTGTGCCAGCGTTGCTCCTCCCACAGTACAGCATCGCACCAGCTTCGCAGGTGCGCACAGATGATTGGCGCGCCGTGCCTGCACAGCGCACACACCTAATCAACTTCGTGCTGACGAATGCATCTGATATGTCAGGTCGACCTCAGGATACCACCATCGAGGCCATCCTTGCCAACCTCGCCTGGGCGACTCTCGCATGTCTTCGCTGAACCTCGCCACCCAGGTAACATGGTCGACCGAGCAACCGGGTCGACCAGCCGCTCCTGTATGTGCCGGTCGACCTCCCAAGTCGACGGCCACCTCCAGTCGACCTCCCCAGGTCGACCACTACCCCCTGGTTTACCAGCTCCAGGTCGACGTCACTCCTGGTCGACCAGAAGGCCTGGTCGACTTACCAGGTCGACCAGAAGGTCTGGTCGACTTACCAGGTCGACCAGAAGGTCTGGTCGACTTACCAGGTCGACCAGAAGGTCTGGTCGACTTACCAGGTCGACCAGAAGGTCTGGTCGACTTCCCAGGTCGACCAGAAGGGCTGGTCGACTTACCAGGTCGACCAGAAGGTCTGGTCGACCAGAAGGTCTGGTCGACCACTACTGCAGGTCGGCTGCACCCCTACACCCGACCACGAAGTCGGCTCCGCCCAAGCGAGGACGGGGCCAACACACAACTCCCGTTGAGACCTGGACGACAGCTAGACAACTGCCTTGTGTGTTCATCTTTGTGTGCCTAGGACCTCTCATATATGTGTGCTTGTATTTTCTTTCAACACAATGCTTCTATGATTTTCTCAAGTGCAAATTCGACTACTACGTATTGACGCGAGTAGAAACACCACAAAGTGCTGCCGAAACTCCGCTCTACCAGACCACTCACCTTGCAAGCTAGGTTGAGCATAACTACTCACTTGGTTTTTCTACGCCCTTGGCTATGAGGTGACATGTTGTCATACTTGGGGGGCATACAAGTGATGTTAAGTGCTGCTTAACTTACGTTTGTGATCTGAGTTTAATCGCTTCCGCATAATACTTGGACTTAACACTGATGTGTGCAGAAACGAAGCCTCCCGCACCTTGGTCAGTAGAGAAGTGTTCTAGGAAAATTGGATAGTTTGTGCATGGAGCGACATATGCCATCTACTCCATTAAATGCGGGCTCTCCAAGAAACCAGAGTGAGCTTATTTTGTACATCATGTGTAAGTGCCCAATTTGATCATATAGTTTCTTTGGTTTTATTTCGTTTTTCTATTGAGTCGACTCAAAACTAGGCGGGGGATAGCCAATGGGGGGGAAAGGAGCGTAGTTTTGAGTCGACTCAAAACTAGGCGGGGGATAGTCGAGGGGGAGGAAGGAGCGGGGGAGCTGCTCGCGCTGTGTCTCCGTGCAGGTGAGAAGGAGGGGCGGGGAAAGAGTGTGGGGGGGGGGGGGGAGGAAGTGAAGCAGGGCTGGCAGGGCGCCGTGTGAGTCAGCGTGCAGAGCAGAGCAAGGACGGTGGATAGCCAGGAGGGGAGGGCAGCTCGTACTGTGTCTTTTTGTGGCTGGGACAGAGGGGGGGGGGGAAGGGGGGTATAAGGGGAGGGAGAGAGAGGTGATGGGGGGAGGGAGGGGGGGGGGGGCAGGGAGGAAATCAGGGTTCACAGGGTTGTGTGTGGTGTGCGGGACGAAGATGGCAGATAGCCGGGGGGAGTGGGGGGTGTGCGTTGAGGCATGGGGATGGGCGGAGAGAGAGATGCAGGAGAGCTGCAGGAGAGATGCAGGAGAGATGCACACGCTGTGTTTCCGTAGAGCTGAGAAGGAGGGAGGTAGAGGTGAAGGGAGGGGGGAGGGAGGAGTAGGGAGGAAAGCAGGGTTCACAGGGTGGTGTGTGATTCAGCGTGCAGGATTTGGTGGTCTAGCCGGGGAGGCAGGGAGGGGGAGAGAGCTTTAAGAGGGTGTTGGGCAGGCGGTGGTGAGGGAGGGACGGCATGGGAATGCATTGGGTGATAAGCATGCCACGCGAGGAAAAGATAACATGTATGACCAATCTGGGTGATGGTGGGGGCGCCATACGATGCTCAATTCCACGTATGCTTTGTCGGTACTAGATCACATAACCACCCCTTTCTAATCTATGTCAGTCAGCCGTCTCCCCACTTCTCCCCCCGTCTCCCCCGTCTTCCCCCGTCTCCTCGGTCTCCCTGGCCCCCTCCGCCTCCCCCCATCTCCCCCGTCTCCCCCCGTCTCGCCTCCCCTCCCCCCGTCTCCCCCCGTCTCCCCCCGTCTCTCCCGTCTCCTGCACGACGGGAAGTTAGACATGGCGAGTAGCATTTCCATATAGAAGCCATACCTGCGCGACGAACACTCCGGCCTCTCTACAAGCTGCTTCGATTTCAGCCGCACTTTCGTCCACGAACACGCCGACTGGCACCGCGCCGCCAGACCTCGCGGCTGCCGCGACTCGCGCCGCCACTGGCAAGGCGATCGACCGATTCGCTTTGGGCCACAGAATCATGCCGACGAACGCGGCGCCATTTGCGGCGGCGAACGCGGCGTCTTCCTCGGACGTAACACCGCAGATTTTGGCCTTGGGACGAACGGAGGTGGCTGACGTGGCAGGCGTAGCTGACGTGGTTTGTTCCGAAACCGCCTTCGCTGCTATAGACATCGAAAGGTTGCCACGTGGCATTCTACGATTGACAGGCCCATCTTTGCGCGCACGCGTTAAATCTACAGGAAACAGTGAGCTTGCGAACTGGATGTTGGTCGAGCCGAGGAAATGCGAACGCGGGCGAAATGCCGGCACGGAATGCGGGGGATGATTGATGGTTGGAATGGCAACGGAGGCCATGTCTGAACGCTTCACCGCGCGTTGAGACCTAGACTGACCGGACCTCCTAGGACTCAGTTGGAACAGGTTTCATTGTTCGCCGGTGGCGTGTGAGGGAGCTGAAACATAAGGAGGTTTGGAGGTGGGGTGTGTTGATCCCAGGCTACGGAATGTGGAAGTTCGGAAAGACTTTCGGTCTGTTGGATTTCTTGTAATTCGGCGCTTGGTTGTTTCGAAATGCCCGAAGTGCGAACGTCTTCTGTAGATCCACCCGAAGCTGTGTACTGAAGATGACACTGTCACAAATATCGTATTTCGGCTCGACCTAAGTGTACTCGTTCGTACAATGACTCGGTACAAACTCCGGACTTTTCCAGAGACGAGACTTGAAATGTTTTGGCGATTACGTTTTCGCCACTACGAATCCATGATATCTCGCACCGCCTCGCAAACGGCGAGAATTATCGCCAGAGAGATGCGCTTTGCTCGCATTGAGAAAATCGTTTCACATAAGGGATGACGCCTCGATTATCTCGCCCGTACGGTTTCTCATGACGCTCTTATTAGCAGCAATGTCGATGATTCATATCCATCTAATCCATGGCGTTTTCGACTGAAGGCGGCAAAATCGATGGTACCATCGCTGATAGAAACCACCGGTGTTCTTATTTAGCGTTTTGATAGATTGAATTCTAATTTTAACTAGAGAGTTTTGCGAGGTCAATCTGCCCCTGTCAACAACCTCTCCTGCATCGGCGCGCAGCTGCTGCTCGGTACGACGGGGCGAGTCTACCGGTATAGCTGTCTAGGCCAGTATCGCTACGACTAGGCCAGTATCGCTACGACTAAACCAGTATCGCTACGACTAGGCCAGTATCGTTACTATCGGTATGATCATTTCGGCTGCTGCCACGTGGCAGCATATGGCTGTGAATGAGTGGGCGACGCGGAACCCGTTCTTCGAGGAAGGGCTCCACGCGTGGTACGCGTTACGAGGCGGCGACGACACGTGTCGCCTCGTGATAAGCGCGAGTACGTCACGCGAGAAGGCCGAGCACGGCATGGCGCAGGACGTTCCAAGTCGACTCAGTGTGCAGCGGTGCGCAGCGGTGGTGATGGGGCGTAGGGAGGCATGGCACGGTATGGCACAGGACATTCACACGCGTCTCACACCCCACTGCCGCTACAGGGTCACCGCTGACATCAGCGTGAGGGACTCTGGCAGGCAATCAGCAGTCGGAGGTCCTGGAGTGGGAGAGAGGGAGACAGGGAGGGGGCGGGGAGGGGGGGCAGGGAGGGGGCCGGGAGGGGAGGTAGGAAGGGAGGCTGTACCAGTGCTGGTGACCGTGCGATGGGATTTTGCAGAAGGATCTCAATACAAGCAAGCATGCAGGTGTGCGTGCGTGTGTGCGTGCGTGTGTGCGTGCGTGCGTGCGTGCGTGTGTGCGTGCGTGCGTGCGTGCGTGTGTGCGTGCGTGCGTGCGTGCGTGTGTGCGTGCGTGTGTGCGTGCGTGCGTGTGTGGTGCGTGCGTGTGTGCATGTGAAAGCGCATGCACGCACGCTGTGTGTGTGTGCCTCCATGTGTGTGTGCATACATGTGTGTGTGCATACATGTGTGTGTGCATACATGTGTGTGTGCATACATGTGTGTGTGCATACATGTGTGTGTGCATACATGTGTGTGTGCCTCCATGTGTATGTGCATACATGTGTGTGTGCATACATGTGTGTGTGCATACATGTGTGTGTGCATACATGTGTGTGTGCATACATGTGTGTGTGCATACATGTGTGTGTGCATACATGTGTGTGTGCATACATGTGTGTGTGCATACATGTGTGTGTGCATACATGTGTGTGTGCATACATGTGTGTGTGCATACATGTGTATGTGTGTGCATGCAAGTGTGTGCATGCATCTGTATGCATGTGTGCGCAGGGAGCGCATGCCCTATCACCCTGTGCCAATCCATGTGTCCTTCTCCTTTACAGGCCCTTGGTGAAAGAGGGCGAATGGGCTTTCGAGATGTCTCAACAGTTGCTTGCCTGTGTGTGCATGTCATAACACCCTGTGCCCATCCCTGTGCCCTTCTCCCTACCAGAGCCATGGTGAGGGAGGGCGAGTGGGTGAGGCTGCAAGGCCACTTCACCGCTCCCCACCGCATTCCACACAAAGTGGGTGGATGAAAGGCAGGTAGGCTAGTCCAAGCGAAGGGCTATGAGAGAGGGAGTGAACTTTGTCAGTGCAGCACCCATTGCACACACCATGTGCTTCAAAGGTCAAGAAAAAGAGCATGAGAGCTCAAGTCATGCTCTCTAAAAGACTCGAGTTAGGAGTGAAGGGGCATGAGAAGTTTGAGACGTCTCAAAAGTCCGAGTGAATGGGCATGAGAAGGGGGTGAGCGTGAGTGGCACTGCACGCTCACGCACACTCCCTGCTTTGCCACTCACGCACAACAGAGGGAGCATGCTGAGTGCCTGTCACACACAGTGTAACAGGCTATCATTCACCCGGCTTTACCAATTCATCTCCCCTATGAGGCAATTGCTTCCTCTTCTCCTCCCACCCGCACTCAATTGCATCCCATCGCAACCCATCACACCACATCCCCATCCCATTCACAACCCTCTCTCCCGTTTGTCCCCATATCGCCCCTATCAGGTCACAGCCTACATTGAGGGCCCTCCTTCTAATGTTGACCTCCTTATTAGCCTCTTCGCTATAGTCCCAGCATCCGACCCACAGCCCACTTTCCCCCCTCTTCCACCCACTGCTGCTGCTGCTGTGAACATGCCTGCTCCTCTTACTCCTGCTACTTTCTCTCCTCCTCGTACTCCCACTCCTCTCGCTCCTCTTGCTGCTCTGAAGGTATCAGCAGCAGCAACTGCCCCGCCGTGCCCCACGTCCCCTCGTCTCCCCCCTCTCCACCCTCCCCACCACTCCCCTCGCCCCAACCTTCTCCTCAACGGCGATTTCTCCCACCGCACTGCCAGCTGGCGGCCCATGGGTGGCTGCGAGATGCTGACGTGGCACGCGCCGTGCCCGTGGGGCTCTGTGATTGGTGCACCGGTGGAGCCGTCCTCCCTGCCCGCCTCTCATCCCTGCACCGTGTTTGAGCGGCGGCAGATGCAGCTGCACGCACAGTGGCAGCAGCAGCAGCAGCAGCAGCAGAAACGGCAGCAGCAGCAGCAGCAGCAGCAGCAGAAATGGCAGCAGGAGCAACACAATTATCCTGCGCAACATGATCTCATGTCGTCATATGATGGCCTGCCATCAAGGCATCCGCTTATGCCTCTGCTCCAACCTGCATCCTCGGTTCCCCTTGCTGGACGACCCACATGTGCCTACGTGGAAGTGACAGGTAGGACTGCCACGTGGCATGGGCCAGCTCAGGACATCGCAGCAGCCAATCAGAGTCCTGAAAGCAGCACTGCCTGGGCTGATGACAGCGCTGACGGTGAGCCGATTCGTCTGTTTGTGACGTATGCTGTGAGCGCATGGGTGCGTGTGGGGAGAGACAGACGGCACAAAGAGCGCGGGCAGGGAGAAAATAAATTCCTCTCCCTCTTTGCAAGAAAGGAAAGAAGAGGGGAGGAAGGAGGGGCAGAAGAAACGGAGGAGAAAGATGCACAAGGAGGGGAGGGAAGGGTGGGATCACACGCAGTGAACATCGCTTTAGGGGTGGATGGGGAGTGGGCGAATGCCGGGTCGGTGGAAGCTTCCGGGAAGGAGTGGGTGCGGTGCTGGGGGTCGTTTCGCCTGGAGAAGCCGTACGGGCGAGCAGTGCTGTACGTGCAGGGCCCGCCGCCAAGTGTCAGCATCCTATTGGCCGACGTGCGCGTGGTGCCTGTGGACTGGCGGGAGAGGGTGCCGTGGCTGCGAGAGCAAGCAGACAGGGTGAGATGTGGAGAGCGGTGGAGAGGGGTGGAGAAGGGTTGAGAGGGGTGAAATGGGTAGAGAAGAATAGTTGAATGTATGGTGTGATTTGTGCATCTTTCTCTGGCCGTTGGTTGTTCCTGTGGATTGGCGGGAGAGGGTGCCGTGGCAAGCAGACAGGGTGAGATATGGTGAGCGGTGGAGAGGGGCAGAGAGGGGTGGAGATGGGTGGGGAGGGGTGGGGATGGGTGGAGGGGAGTGATTTAGTGTAGGGTGTGACTTGTGCTCCCATGCCTCCACTCCACCCCTCCCACAACCCCTCCGCCCAACCACACCCCTTCTCCCTGCTCCACACTCCCTCACGTTTTTTTCTCTACACCTTCTCGCTCTTTGATGTGCCCTCATGTCCTCCCGCGCTGCTCCTCTCCCCCTGCCCCTCTCCCCCTGCCCCTCTCCCCTGCCCCTCTCCCCCTGCCCCTCTCCCCTGCCCTTCCCCCCCTGCCACCACACCCCCTCTCCTTCCCCCACCACACTCCCTTCCCCCCTGCCACCACGCCCTCTCTCCCCTTCCCACCACAACCCTTTACCCGTACCCACTCACTACCCTTCCCCACCCTCCCACATCCCTCTTCATCTCATCAGCTGCGAAAGGGATCCCTCCGGCTCCGCCTCCTCTTTGCCACCGGTACCCCCTCCCACATATCCTCTTCTTCCCTCTCCCACCCACCACACCTCCTTTTCCCTCACCCCCTATCCCCCCCATCAGCTTCGCAAGGGTTCGCTTCGTCTCCGCCTCCTCTCTGCCACCGGCCAGCCAATCCCGAGTGCCCACGTGTCAGCCAATCAGACGCGCCGCGCCTTCCCTCTGGGCACCTGCGTGAACGCCAGAGACCTGCTGGGGAACAAAACCTACCAGTCCTTCTTCCAATCGCGTGCCCAGGGAGGGGGAATAGGAAACAAAAAGGACCTACAGATTTTTCGTGAGGGAAAGGGAAGCGGGTTGAGTGGGAGTGGGAGTGGGAGTGGGAGTGGGAGTGGGAGTGGGAGCGCAAGTGGGGCATGGTTCAGCTGGGGCGTGTGTGAGAACGAGCTCAAATGGACGAGTGTGGAGGCAAGGCGAGGGGAGGAGGATTGGAGAGATGCCGATGCCATGGTGGGTTGGATGCAGGTGGGTGTGGGGATGGATGGGTGGATGGATGGATGGATGGGTGGATGGATGGATGGATGGATGGGTGGATGGATGGATGGATGGATGGATGGATGGATGGATGGATGGATGGATGGATGGATGGATGGATGGATGGATGGATGGATGGATGCAAGTGAATGTGTTACGAGGAGGGCTTAAGAAGGTGCGGGTGCACTGGGTGCCCTCAGGACCGGATGGGTTTTGAGGAAACTAAAAAAACAGATGCTGATGCCATGGTGGCGTGGATGCATTTGTGAGGGTGTGTGTGGTGATGGTGATAGATGCAGGTTGTTCTGTGTGGGTAATGCGAGGTGGGTACCTGGAGAGTTGTGACATCAATCCACAGGAGAGGTTTCATACTGCAAGAGCATTGATGCTTAAGGTCAGAAATGTTTAGTTTCATATACATTTTCCCAAGACTTCGTAAATGCAACTTCCTGTGCGCGCTTGTGCATGTGTCTCATATCCCTGTACGTGTGTGCGTGCAGGAGCATGGAGTGGCAATGAGAGCGCATTGTCTCTTTTGGGACAACATGCAACCAGCTTGGGTCGACAAACTCTCACTCAGGGACCTCAAAGGTGCGTTTCTTATCTTTCCCCTGTCGCTCCAATTTTGATCGCCCTGTGGCTTGATGGTGTGTGCTGATAGTGAGAGCACTTGCCCACCTTAACCAGTGTGTGTGGCTCATGAGTCAAGGTAATGCCGTGCGCACTGTCTCTGTTGGGAGAACATGCGCCCAGCTTGGGTGCTGTCGACATCCGCGCGATCTGCTGCCAGGTAGGGATGCCCAATTCCTCGCGCACCTCCACTTGTGTGCACTGGTAGGCTTCTCTTGGTTCCCTCCGTTCAAAGTGTGCCAACAGTGTACCGATGGGCCCATCATCTTCCCAGTAGCACACCCGGTACTGCACCTTCTCTTCTCACATGCAGATAGTGGCTCCGATTCCAAACAGATACTCCACCCCTATGAGCAAATCGAAGTCTTCCGATTCCGACACCCCACAGTACACCCGCAGCGCGCATTCTTCAGTGGTTCCCAAGTTCAACATTAACGACATGGTCTGCCTGGTCCACATCGCCTCTCCCCGATCTACTGTCATCAGCAGGTAGCCTTCCGAAATCAGTCGATCGGCTTGTGCAGCTGCAGGTTTTCCGCCAAGCGTCTGCGGATCAGCACATGCGCGGGCCCCGTATCAATTATTGCTCGTTATGCCGTGAAGCCACCAATTCTGATCGCCCCTGCTGCTATCGTCATGACTGTGGCTTGACAGGCCATTCTCTCCCACGGATGTCGATACGCCGCTCCTGGTGTTTCCAAGCTTTCACTTGCCCGACGCCTTGCACCGTCTTCTCTCCGCACATCTTCGAGAACTTCCTACCTTTGCTTGGCGTTCCGCAAACCCAGCTCGTCTCGATCGCGGGGTGGCTGTGCCATCAGCATAAACTCCGGCTCCTCCGCTTCCTCTTCTTCCTATGCTACCATGGCGGGCTGTTTCTGTTTGGAAGCCGTAGACGTGCTATGGTGGCTTGCTGTTCCCTTCGCCCCGTGTAGCAATCTGCCTCTCGATGTCCTTTCCGGTTTCAGCGTGCATAGATGGGCCTTCGTATATGCTCGCAGCTTCCACATAGCGAGCAGGCAGCGGGATTCCGACAATCTCGCCACAGGTGCCCTGTCATGTCGCAGTTGTGACAATGGCGTTGCTCTTCTCGGCCTCACTCCTCAAGTTCTGGTAGGCAGACGCCACCGCCCATGCCGGCCGCCTCCTTTCTGGCCCCCTGTCTGCCGTCCGCTCTACCTCGTATAGACGCCGCCCCGTCTCTACGCGTTTCACAATTTCATACGCTTCCCTCAATCATGATAACAGAACTTGCAACACATAAGCTAGAAAGTCTGATTGTCATGGACTAAACAAAACACTCACTTTCGAAGACATCAGCGAGAGCGATGTCATTGTCATGTCAAAATTGTTTTCAGTTGCCTTTATGACCATCTGCAGAGATAGGGAACATTTGTAATATATTGTGGAAACCAAAAAATAACAAATTGGTGATTTACATCGAGACAAGACCATACAAACATTTTGGAAAAAACAATGAGAAGAAAAAATATGTTGAATTGCAAAATGTTGAGGTTCACAATCATTTCACCTGGATATGACATCGTTTGTTGAGCAAGCTTGACAAGATCTCCCTTTTCTTATCAGCTCCAGCAGCGGTCCATGTTGCAATGCTGAACTGGTCCACTCCACTCTTAAAGCGCTTAGACTCGCCGTAGCACGGACACGAGTGCGAGCAGACCTTCCACCTGCAAGAGACGTATGCCAATGTCATTGTTAAATAAATCGACAGAATGAGTGAACAAAGCCCTTAAGGAATTTTTGACTTTATGACTGGCGTATCAAAGTAGAATTGTTGAGGTATAATGTGCGTAAAATAAACAATATGGACACACAGTTATATATAATTGAAACAATAAAAAGAAGCATGTGTCCAAATCGAAAATAAGACGATAGTAAGAAACAAAGTATGGCATAGAGATGTATTAGTAAGAAGAATGAATGCAAGAAAATGAGAGTACAAAAGAGATAATGGGGTGGAACTCTTTAAAAACGCAAGTACAATCGACGGTGGAAGAAATATTGCATGTATATCGAATGCTTGAAAGTATACAACTGGAACTACATGTGTAAATGCGTAGTTTGATCAAATGCAAATGGGTAAGAGCGTTCATTATACTATGATCAGTTTGAAAGGCCACGTATTATGTTTGAAGAATGTGTTTTGAAAATATGTTTTGAAAAAAAAAATCATACCTGTTGTTGTGTCAAACACAACGACAATCGCATTACGGCTGGTTGCCCTGGGCATGGTATGCCCGATGTCGCATAGGTATGCATCACTGGAGCAGCACCCCCACAGGAAAACCAAACACGTCCGTATTGTCCTCTGCAGGGTCTGAACGAACAAGTCAACTCTGTAGTGGTATGCACGTTGGGAATTTCCACGCCGAGTGTGCAGACAACGTCTTGTCCCAACAAGAGAACATTGTCCTCAACTACTTCCGAAGTGTATGAGAAAATGATATATACAAGTATCTAGAATAGATATGCAAACGAAATGAACACAATAACTTAGTTTAAGAGGTAATACAACAAATAAGCGAACACGTTGAGAATATATTCTTTGGATACACGTGGAAGAAGTGGAAAATGACATGTCTTAGGCAACATTAGAAAATCGTCAAAATGTAGATTGCATATGAAAGAGAAAGAATTTTACATATTTGGAATGAAGCATATAACATAGAGGAAGGGTTAACTACAAGAAAGTATAAACACTGAAAATTACTCCATTGGGATGTATAAAAGCGAAATAATAAAAGGCATGAGATGCATAACATAAGCGACTGCGGACTAATATAGGTGAGAGCATATGTGATTTACTAAAAGCAAAAGAGAAAGAAATGACAACAAAGAACAGTGGAATAACAACAATAAGCAGTGCTCATCAATCAAACATCGAATAACATATGCAGTAACGATGTAACAATGCCGACCACCCGGTTGTCGGTGATGTCGAGGAGCTCCCAGCCCTGGCTGAATCATAAAGGGCAGTCGTAAGAAAGTGTGCTAATAATGACGTATGAATGCGCGCATCAAAGTGCGAGACAAAATATCACTCACACCCTAAACACAGTACAATATGGAATAACGCATTAATATATGCTATTACACGATGGTGCTGCATCAGTTTGTACGATTTGACTTAAAACAAACCTGACGACGCACAAGCGAATGGGATGAAAACAGTCCAGACAGAGGCGTGGGAGTGAAGAGACTAAATGTGATGCTGTTTCCCGCAAGCGACATGCGGGCATGCGAAACAGCGTGCACCCACGAAAGTTCATCAACCAGCCCTCGAATGGTATATCTGAGTAATGAGAATCAAACATAATATGTACGTATACGAAGTAGATGAACAGATGTTTGATTGTGAGATTGCATGGATTGTGTAGACATTGATAGAACTACGATGCAACACTATAACATGGTTGAATGGATAATTGTTTGGTAGAAAGCAAACCGAAGCATAATGGACAACTGGAAAAAAAAAAAAAAAAAAAAAAAAAGACGTGGACATGAATGAAGGAATGTTGTTAGTTTCTTGTACCACGGGAGGACCGCGGGACCGCGGGAGGACCGCGGGAGGCCGCGGGGCCGCGGGAGAACCGCGGGGCCGCGGGAGAACCGCGGGAGGGCCGCGGGACCGCGGGACCACGGGGACCGCGGTGGCCGCGGGTCGAAGACCGGGGGCCACGGGGGCAGCGGGATACCCGGTCGACCAGGATACTCGGGTGACATGGGCGAAGGTCGCCGAGGGTGGTTTCTGCGAGGACGACCTCGGGGGTGGTATCCCGAGGTCGACGTGGCTGGTGGGCGCCGTCACGGGTGGAGTGTCTGCGCTGGGCATGTGACGGGGAGTTGGGCGCCAACCAGCTGCACGCACCTGCGAAGCTGGTGCACCGTTGTCCCGCGGATGCAACGCTGTGCAGCCGACTTACTGCAGCGTTGGCACACCGCGGACTGGCAACGTTGGCAAGCCGCGACTCTGCTCTGCTGGAGCGCGGTCGACCAAGTCGTGCTGGCACGTGGTCGACTATGGTGCGCTGGCAATCGACTAGCAGCCTTGCT